GGTCAGAACATCTGTACTTTGTTCGGGAATTTTATGCTGGGGGCTCCCTGGCCAACATCTCCATAACTCCTGCGTGTGCTGGAACCTACAGATGTTATGGTTGTCAGTCATTGATCCTATGCATGGTCAGACTCCAGTGACCTCTTGGACATGGTGATCATGTGCCAGAGTCTCCACATCTGTCCCTTACTGTCTTTAAGACACAGATCAGAAGCTCTAGACCATGGGCACATAGGGAGGTCATAAGAATAATGACAAGCAGGTTTACTTGGGGAGAGTGACACTTCTGGTGAGTTTTATCAAGAAAGACATTGAAAAAGGAGACATAAGCACAGACCACTTAACATAACAAATGGTGCAGCTACAAAGGAAATACAGAGAAGTCATGAATGAGTATAAGTACCAAAGAGAGACATGGTGATGGCACAGAAGGGTCAGCAAGTGGTATCCTCCTCTCTGTACTCGTGAAGAAACCTGAGTTTCCATTTTACCTTTACTCTCATTTTTCTACTATGAGAACTGGACGCGTTACATATGTAAACTGAGTTACAGGGTTGAGTTTATCATGTCTTGGGCTAATTTCTTAGGGATCCCGAGATTTCTATGCAGTCTAAACAAATAGATGCAATCTGATTCTTCCTGCTTTATTGTGATTTATGCATAATTTGTCTCTATTGATGTTAATGTCCTTTATCTGGAGGATGTGGGTTCCATCTTCCTTATTGTCCTTGTGGAGCAACCATACTGCCAATAATTAGAGTCAAATAAACAAAAATAGAAAACCTTACACATACATACACAGTGAACCAGAGGTTGAGGAGAGAGAAAGGGGCTCAGAACAAAAGGGAGCATGAAATTGGAGTTAGTGACTAAAATTGGCAAGGAAACAGCTAAAAAACAAGAATCCATAATGGAAAACATACAGACAAAGGTGGATGCATATTATAAAAGAGATAATCTGAGAAGCAATAGACAGCTAGAAAATAGTGTTCATTGAGCTAAACTAGACTAACCACACAGATTAGTGTAGTTTGTGTGCAGAGAAAACACACTCATGAATAGGGGCTTGGAGTACCATTCAGTGCTCAAGCATTTATCTGGCAGATGGTTGATCTGTGGTTGATCCCCAGCACTTTAATGATGAATGAAACAAATAATAAACAAATTACATTGAATCCAAATACCTTCAGAGATATCTAAATAGTTGGAATATAGGCAAATACGTTTTTCCAGTTAAACCTGCTGCTGAATGAAGGCCATAAACAGGTAAACAATCAGAAATTATAACTTCAAAAATCGCTGTTCAAGGTTCTACAAATAAATGAATGAATTAACACGTAGGCCACTACAAATATTCAGTATACAATTTGATTGTCAGTCCACAAAGAAAGCTGGGTAAAATTAGAATAAAATTTAATGCTTATGATCCTTTAATTTTGGAGAAAATACATTATTATCAAGACCAAGAGGTTATAGCTAGGTACAATCATTGATACGTTTCCTTTTCCAGGAACCTACACAGCATTTTCCAGCACTATGAAAGCAGGCCAATAGGAAGGAAGGTTTTCAGTTCATTCCAGCTTGGTCTTCTCAGTCAAAGTGCATGGTGTCTTCACCAATAGTGTCTTACCATCCACTTCTAGTGGTCAATCCAGAGGAATGTCAGCAAATAATGTTGTTTTCTGAGCCTTGGTAGCCCCAGGAGCCTCCCTGATCAACAATTGGAGTGAAAGTATCTTACACTTGGCTGATATTTTCATTTAACAACCGATGGCTTCTGAGATAAGCATTATTTACTCACGCAAGCTATTCTATTCCATCTAGTTTTCAGTATTTTAATTAGCTTACAGAGTTCTATATTGATTTTTCCTGCACCATTAATTTTTTATTAACCTTCCACTTATTATTCTGAGGATTGCGATCTAGATTTAAGCCCTTCCAAATTTGTGGCCTGACTGATCCTCGCACTGTTCCTGCAAGAAAGTATATTCCCTTCACCCTACTCTGAGGGAGACTGTTACTTATTTGAGATTGAATATTAGTAAATGTTATCCCTCATACCTTACATGGAAACAAATACATTTCTTCCAGTGAGTATTAGTGTCCTGAGCACTGAGACAGAATCCACAGTGTTGACCCATCAATGTCTTCCATGGTCGGGAGAGAAGAGGTATTGCAAAGAAATCATGAGGAAGTTTAGATAAAGAGGGTTTAAGAGAAGCCGCTGCCCTTACAGCAATGAAGACGTTAGAAGAAGGAAATCATCAGCAACCAAATCGCAAGAGTGATTAGCAAAGAGGTTAACTTCTCTCTTCAAGTAAATTAGGTCCTGTTAATGCCTACCCAAACCTCCTTCTGGCACCACCTGTGGTGGCTATGTTAGATTCTCTGATCAAGCCGGACAGAGGCTAGACTCAGTTCCTCCATGTTCCTTTTTTCATTTTAACATGAACTCCAAAAAAAAAAATCCCATCCTGAACTGTCCTCCAGGTATCAATACTGTCCATGTTCAGTGAGATTCAAGTTCACATGTTGGTATCATCACCCATCCACCTCTTACCCTAATCTAGGTTCCTGTCACCACATTAGCTCATTTCTCTTACCACTCCAGAATTTCGTCTAAGAACCCTTGCCGTCCACCATGCTGAATCCTTCCACAGGGCTTTATATGCCTGAAACATCACAGTGCCTCTTTTTTGCCTTTCATGGTCAGCGAAGGTAGTCTTCTTTCTTACAAATTTCTCTCATTTTTAGAGGGGGAACTCAACAAAGGTTACCATATGTTTCTGACAGAGAGACACATTCACTCACTAACACACTTGTGTCTTTAAAGTCAGCTTTCTGAGGCAGTAAGAGACTATAAAATATCTTTCTAAACTCCTCAGTATGATAAAGGCAGAGAACTGTTCTCTTTTTGACCCATTCAACTGAAGTATATTCAATAGCTAAAATTTGTGTTAGGGATACATAAGAACTCCACACCCCTTAGAATACTGATGGGCACACCATACAGATTCAGATCATTATGGATTTTATCATAGTTTTCTATCATTTACAATTCTTTCACATCCATTACCCACCTAAAGGTGATCTTAAAATAGCAGCATGTCTATCTGTTTCTTTACTTAAAGATTTACAATAACTTCAATTTAATATATAGTTTTCCTGGGTAGAATAGTCAGGGTTGATAGTTGTAGTCTTTCAGGACTTGGAGTATATCTTTCCAGGAACTTCTGATTTAAATATTTCTGTCAAATAATCTAATTTCTAATTAGTTTTTCTAATTATAAGTGACTTGACATTTCTGATGGCTATTCCCCTTCCTCTCAACGCTCAGAGATAGTTATGGCAGATGGGAGTGGAAAGATTGTAAGAGCCAGAGATTGTGGCTATTTACAAGGAAACAGTGTCTTCTGGACACAGCATGGCAGCTTCACACATGAACTCACAGCAGTTGTGGCCATATGTACAAGAACTGTGCAAGATCAAACTAGACCAAATCCCAGCATAGAGATGGGAGAAGGACACAAATTTCCATCCATATCTATGTAGATATTGATAATTGATAGCTGTTGAGAAAGGGAGAAAAAGTGTAGCCTCTGGTAAGTCAACCATGCTTCAGTGGAAGGCCACACATCCAAGAGTAAATTGAACTTGATGGGTTAAAAACACACACACACACACACACAGACACACACACACACACACACACACACACACACACACACACACACACACACAAAAGGACACAAAGTTGATCATGTAGGGAAGGAGTTGGATCTAGGAAGAGTTGGGTGAGGGATGGATATAATCAAAACACATTGTATGATATTCTCAAAGAGCCCATAAAAATTTTTAAGATTTCCTGTTTCCTTAACTATGAAACTTCAGAACATGTACATTTTTCAAGAGTGAGATGGGGCCCCAGAACTCTGTATGAGTTTCACTTCTCAAAACAGCTGATGATCCTCTTTACTGAGCAACCATACTGAAGTTTTCCCTGCCATCTGTTCATGCCCAGGTTCTTCCCTCTCTAATAGTCTTGCATCACAAGGACTCAATTCATTTAAATTTTTAGTAAGTGTTAACTTCTCTCTTTTTTAAAAATCTCCTTGTATTATAGGAAGCCACAGAGGGCTTCCACACATTTACAGTGCCTGTTTTCATTCTTGTGAGATCCGTAAGTCCAAGGAAGGAACTTATAGGTATCATCAAGGAGTCTCATGTCTGGTACTGACACTCACATTAGTGAGGTATAAGGGGAAAGTAGTTGATTGTATGAACAGCAGAAGAACAATTCTTACATTTACAAGGTGTCTAGGAGAGATGACACAATCTAGCATGTAAAAATCCTGTAATAATCTCAAAAGCAGCTCCACGTGAGCCACAAATACAGGTGCTTGGTGTCTCTCCTGCTTTGAACCCACCCTGAAACATCAGTTTGCATATTCCCCAATGCATTATCAGAGTTAGAGATATGACTGAAGATGGTAAGACATCATGATATTGCAGATAGGAACATGGTAGAGAGAAAACCCCATGGTTTCTTAAATTCTTAAACACAAGACTATTAGAGAGGGAGGAACCTGGGCATGAACAGATGTCAGGGAAAACTTCAGTAAAGTTGCTCAGTAAAGAGGATCATCAGCTCTTAGTCCTCAGTCACAGTCACCTGGGAGTCATTTTTCTGGAAGACATGAGGTATATTTGAAGCTATTCACTGGACTTGGAGAGGAAAAGAACTGCAGCTGAGTAAGGCCCTGTTTACTCTCTCTAATGTCTTCAGTAGACATTGTACCCAGCTTAGCCACAGTCTTGTGGAAATAGCATACTCACTCTTGAGGAGGACGCTTCCTCTTATTTTCATTTCCAGTGCTGTATGTGCAATCTTGGGCTTTGTCCTTGCTAGGCAAGCGTTCCACCAGTGAGCCAGTTGCACAAGACTTCCTGTCACTTCTTGATGTGACAGCCCACAACATAGAGCACAGTGTCTTTTGTGTCACCCTCTGTGTTGATCTGTCCTGACAGTTTCTGTAGTCTCATCAGTCAGCATAGCTGGGACCCCTGGAAGGAGACATCATGATCTCCACTTTGATAGTGCTGTTTCATCTTGGTGAGATTTGAAGGGTGGAGGGAACGCCTAATTCTAGGAGGGATCTCAGGCCATAACTAAGCTGTGGCTCATCAGGAGATGCCATGGCCTTGGATGGCTTTGTAGAGGAGAGGATCTTCTCAAGCTTCATGGAGAAAATCTTACAGAGAAATGTTTTTCAGGGCTGAGTCTGGAACCCAGGACCACAACGATGGCAGGTGAGTCATTCCCCACACCTTACCAGATGCTGTTTCCACACTGAAATAAGAAAACCACTCCTGTGCCCTCGAAATGGACAACAGCAGATGTGGGTTGATTATGGTGATGCTTCAAGACCCTGGGGCTCAGAGGTAGAATTAAAGAAAGGAATACCCTGGGACACAGCATTTGATTTTCTTGCAGGAAAATTCCCCACACCCACCATCTTGGCTGAGCCAGACTCCGTGGTCACCAAGGGACAGTCTGTTACTATCTGGTGTCTTGGGACCGAGGAAGCCCAGGTGTACTATCTATATAAAGAGGAAGGTTCAAAATCCTTGAAGACACAGACTGCGTTTGAGCCTGGGAACAAGGCCAACTTCTCCATTCCATTCACGACAGAGTACCACGCAGGACTATACCACTGCTACTATTACAGCCCTGCCGGCTTATCAGAACAGAGCAACGCCCTAGAGCTGGTGGTGACAGGTAAGGGACTCTCAAGGGTCCCAAGCTCAGGTTATGCCCCGAGTAAGGGATTTTGATCTCATGGCATCTGCTTCTCACAGTCCAGTCTTTAGATAATGTGGAATATTTGTCTCCTTTTTTAGGATTCTACAGCAAACCCAGTATCTCAGCTCTGCCGAGCTCTCTGGTAACCTCAGGAAGGAATGTCACCCTCCAGTGTAGCTCACATCAGGGATATGGAAGGTATATCCTTACTAAGGAAGGAGAACAGAATGTGTCCTGGACTCAGAACTCACAGAAACACCCCAATGGACAGTTTCTGGCCCTGTTTCCTGTGGGACCAGTGACTTCCAAACACAGATGGGCCTTCAGGTGCTACGGATACTACAAGAGAACCTCCCAGATGTGGTCAGTACCCAGTGAGACCCTGCAGCTCCTCGTTTCAGGTGAGGCAATCCCATCTTTGACATTTATTTGAAGGCCATAAATTCTTTGCATGATCCCTGTTCCAGATGAGTACAATAAAGCTGAAAGACAGTTGAGAGATGCCCAGGGGTCTTGATGTAGAGACACAGCAAGACCTGCAAGAAAAGGTGGATGGGAGAGGAAGGTGTTTGGCAAGAACTATATCCTTAATACCTTGTTCAACTTCTCTCTGAGGGACTTCTCTAGGAAGGCCCCCATTTTGACCCAGCAGGGATATATCTGGGCACTTAGAAAGACTCTGACCCTCTAAAATCATAGTGACAGTCATTATGATAGATTTGTTCTATCAGATGATGGCAAACACTGCATCCCATCTTGCCCTTCCCAGCAGCCCAGGCCTAGCTCTCTCAGGCTGATGTCACATTGATTCCTGCAAGCAGCTTCCACATTAGTCAATACACAAGCTGTGGATATACTATGTCCTCCATACGGCCATTTACCAACGGCCTCTGAATATCCTAAACCCAGGTGAGGATCCTTGGTCCTGTAAGAGACTCATATTCTTCAAAGATCATGCAGGGGAGCCCATATCATCATGACTAGGATGACGGATGAGGTCTTAGGAAAGATGAGAGACAGAAAGACCAGAGTTTTTGAAGGGAAAATGAGTGAGAACAATAGGTAGAGGAGGCATGCCTAGTGTGGAGTTATATAAAACAGACACAGAGACTCAGGAGCCATACCCCTTGGTTTTAGAGACAGGGTCTCACCTGGTGTGGAGTTCGCCAAGTAGGCCAGGCTGGTCAGCCAGTGAGGACCAGGAATCAGCCTGTCTCTGCCTCCCCAGTGCTGGAATTACAGGGGCCAACCACCACACACAGATTTTGTCGTCTTTGTTTTTTACGTATATTCTTTGTTTTGTAGGGTTGTTTTTAAATATCTGAACATTTTAATTTATTTTTACACTTTCATAGGTATTTTTAGTGAAATGTGATCATATTTACTCCCATCCTTTGCCCTTCCAACGCTCCTCATACACCCCACTCTGAACTCCACGTTTTTTTTTATAACCCCCCAGTTCAGTTCGTGCTGCCTATGTGTTCATAGGTGTGGGTCTACTAGAGCACGGACAAATCCACAGCTGGCCACACACTCAAAAGAGATTGATTCTCCCTCCCCTGTCCTCTACTGACTTCCAATAACTCCTCAGTAGTAAGACAAGGGACCTAGGTATGACCTACCCATCTGTGCCAGAAATTTGGCTGGCTTGACCTTCTGTAGGTTTTGTTTATTCTTTAAATTTTCATGTGTTTATAAAATGTATTATAATAATATTCTTCTACTACTACCTCCTTTCAACTCTCCCTAGTTTCTCCACCTCACCTCCATTCCAATTTCATATCTTCTCTTAAAAATTATTATTAATATTCCATCTGTGTAAGTATATGGGACTATCCACTAGGGCTTGGTCAACCTATCAGTTTTCACATCTGCAAAGGGGATTGACTCTATCACCCTCAGCAGCTATCATTGTCAATAGATCCTGAGCTAGGGGTGAAGCTTTGAGGGTCCCTTCCCCATATATGCTAGATTTTTGACTGGATTAATTTTAATTTTGTGCAGGTCTCATGTAGGTAACTACAGTTTCTGTGAGTTGATATGTGTAACAGTTGATGCAATACCAAAATCAGCATTTCACAGCTCTTTTCTCTGTCTTCTGCTTCTTATATTCCTTCCACCTCCTTTTTATGATGTTCCCTGAGTCTTGGCTGTGAGGAGGTTGATAAAGGATGTTCCATCCAGAGCTGAGAACTCATAGCTAAAAATGAGGCTTTGACCAGCTAGTAGTCTCTACATTAACCACTACCCACTGAAGAAAGATGTGTCTCTCACCAAAGTTAGGAGTAGCACAGATCTGTGGTTATAGATATATACACTTAGAATGCAGTTTGACAGTATGACCATTTATCAAAACAACAACAGCGAGTTTCTCATACCTAGGGCCTATAATCTCCCTATTATGGGCTTTTGTCATGCATTGGATCCTTCCTGTGGGTCAGGCCTTATGTCCAATTAGAAAGCTGGTTACACACATAACTGCCATGTCAATACTGTACCTGTAGGCATCTTACCAAAGAGGACACTATTATACCATGTGGGGTCTAGAGCTTGATAGGGCCATTAATGTCATTTCTCACCCTGCAATCTGCATAACCTTTTGTGGCAGTGCCTAAGCTAGTCAGCAGGGAGAGAGCTTCCTAGTCAGTTTGAGGTTGCTTTCTCTATGTACTCCTACATAAATGAGTGATATCTTTAGCAAGAGGTACATACAGTAGTTAGAATAGACAACAAAGAGCAATGGCTCCTGTATTGGGTACTTCTTGGGTGTCCCTGACAAATAACACATAAGGAGGTATTCTGTACCTTGAGATAGTATTTTTACTTAACAACCCATACTTTCTAGAAGCAATCATTGTCAACCCATGCAGGATGCGCCTGTTTAAACTCCCTTTTAAATATATACAAACTAATAGATTTTATTAGGATGTCTTCTATATCTTAGTTTTGGTTAACCTAACCCTTACCCTGTTCTTTGCCAACCCTCTATCTCTACCTAAGCCTTTAACTCCAAGTAGTCAATTTCTTATGATTGTGCATTAATCACTTTAGTGACTGAACTATATTCTCAGCTTGTGCTGTATATTATTAATGAATATACTGTGTAATAATAATGTATAAAATATTTTAAGTTGTTGATAAATGTTGAATATACTCATGGAAATATCAATGAATTATTCAACTAATTTAATAATTGAAACAGAATGATTTTCATGGCATTATAGTTACTAAATAATAAATATAAATAAAAAACTATTGACTCCAGTATAGTATTGACTCTTATTGATATAGGTGTCTATTCCATTTGGTTTTCAGTTTGGGACTGTACTGATTTTGTTGTCTTGTTTGTCCAAATTCCCAGATTCACACTCACAAGATCACACAGTGGAGAATCTCATCAGGATGGCTGTGGCTGGCTTGATTCTGGTTGTTCTTGGGATTCTACTGTTTGAAGCTCAAAAGAGCCAGAGAAGTCCTCAAGATTCAGGGTGTAGGTGAATAGTGCATCTCTTAATATGGTAGAGACTTGGAGATGAATCCACCAAGTAGAGAAAAATCATGGAAGAAAATTTGTGGCACAAGTGTGTGAATATTGTTGAGTGCTCCAAAGAGAACATCATATTTGGGTGCAGGGGAAATGTCAGAGAGATCTGTGAAGAGAACTCTACACCCATTCAATTGGGACAGTGTGGTGGCTTGAATGAGTTGGCCTCCATAGTCTTAGGCATTTGAATGTTTGGTCCTCATTTGGTGATGCTGTTTGGAGAGACTTAGGAGGTGTGGTCTTGTCGGAGGAATTGTGTAACTGAAAGTTTAAAGACTCTCATCATTTCTAGCTCACTCTTGTGTATCCATTTCCTCCATTATCCATCCTGCAGGAAATCTTAAGTCAGAAGGCAAGCAAGTCAAAATAGCCCCAGGAAGGCCCTGAAAGTGACCAGATTCACTAGGCCCCTTCTTCCTAAGAGTTAACAAGAAGAGCTGGTGAGAGTCAGTTAGACAAGGTAAACTGCAAAGAAGAATCTGAGAACAGAGCAGCTACCAGGAAGAATAAACAAAACAAATCAAAAACACAACTGAGCTGCCTGGCAGAGGTTTAGATCAGAATCACTTGGAAAGGATACTCTCCAACCTGTTTAGCTTGCCTGAAGGCTGTGAAATATGCCCTTTGTGAATTATTACCCATGATGGGGCAAAATTTGGTGATGCAGATGACTTGGAGTCATTTCTGCTCCTGTAAGTAATCTTAACAAAACTCATTGGTTCACCAAATTGGACTTTAGTGGTAGCCATACTTCGGTCTGTCATGTCCTCCCTTTCTAGAGCGAATAGTGTCTACTGTGTATGCTGTGTCTCCCAGGAAAAGTCTTGCCACAGAACAACTCTTTCCTTCTTGTGCTTGTGATTTAAGATGTGAGCTGTCAGCTTTCTTTTGCGGCCACCATGCCTTCACTCTGTCATCATGGACTCATCCTTTGGAACTTTAAATGCAAATAAACTACTTCTTCTATAAGTTGCTTTAGTCATGATGTTTTGTCATAGCAATAGAAAAGTAAATATTATAGAAGTTGGTACCAGGAGCAGGATATTGCTGTGACAAGCCTGACCTTGTTCCTTTTTAGAGGAATGTAGAAGACTTTATGATTTTGGAATGCAAAAGAAGTTGAATACTATTTGCCCCGGCCAGCGGGGTATCAACGGGGGCGACCCACCTGTGGGAGAGAATGAGAGGGACGAGGGAGACACGAGAGAAGACAGCAAGACAGTGTGTTCTGATCAAGCTGCAAATTTTATTCTCCTCAGCAGGGCTTATATAGCATGGGAGGGGGAGGGGAGGAGGGAAGGGGTGCACGACGTGCTGTACGTGCAGGTGAAGGGGGACATGCAGGTGAGGGGCTACGTGCAAGTCGTGCAAGTCATGCAAGTCGTGAGGCTGCTAGGTGGTAAGGTCACTGGTCAGGGCCCATTGTTCTGTTGCTATGCTACCTGACCTGCCTGACCTGTTCTTTATCTTTGGGGGCATCCGGTTTAGGGTAGGGGCTTGTTCTCTGGCTTAGCTAGTACTTTTCCATGGTCCATGTTTGGTCTCTGACAACTATTGGGAGATTTATTAAGGCAACTGCACGTAGTTAAAAAGGAGGTTTATTTTAGGGGGTAACTTACAGATAGTAAAGGGGTTGGTTACAGGATCTGGGAGAGGTGAGGTGCAGTCCAGCTGGGTTCTCTGGAGAACTCCGCTCAGTCTACCATCCAGCATCCAGGATCACCAGGAACCAAAAGAGCAGGCACATTCAAATCTTGGATCTTAAGGGCTCCCATCTCAGCCCTGCCTCAGGGGCAGGTAGGTGTGACAGTTACCGGAAGCCTCAATGGAGGTAGTACTTCCAGGTCAAAGCTGGAACAGCTACCCACTACAGAATACCGTAAGCAAGGCTTAATTGACTATCTTAGTGGGCGCGCTGGAAGACAGTGGTGAAAGCAAACAGACTGTGGAGGCCTAGCTGAAGCTATTTCAGAGGGAAGCAAAGACTTTAACGGCAACCCGGCTAGAGGCCATTCCTGTGATATTTTGGCACATGATATGTCTGCCTTCTGCTCTTGCCCTAAGGACTTGTCTGAAATTAAGTTTAAAGTTAATGGACAGCATCCCTGTGAACACAGCAGCTGAGCAGTCCAGGGAAACAGGCAAGTCAGCTGAAGACCTTCACCACTCTCTCCTCTCCTCCAGATGCAACCCCCCAGCCTCATCCCTGGCTTTGCAGCAGAGCACTGGCTTCATCATTCCTCACTCTCTGCCGTATCTCCTGTGGGTCCCACATTTGTCCCCCTTCTAATTTCCTTCCCCATTTGTCGCTTCATAGCAGCCCCCAACTACAGTAGGCACCCCCTGCTTGCCCACAGGCCATGCCTATGAGAAAACCAGGTAGGTTGCCTACAGATGTCCTCTCCTCCCTTTGTTTCCCCAGGTCCAACCCCCAGTCTCATTTCCAGCTCTGCTGTAGAACACCTGAGGCAGGCTTTATTGTCTCCCCATTTCCATCTCCTGTGGATCACACAGAACTTCCCCTTCTAACTACCCTTTCCAAACTCATTGCTTTGTCTCAGCCTCCAACTCCAGCATGCATTCCTTGCTAACCCTAAGGCCTCTCCTGCCAGGACAGTGAACATGCTGAAAGCAGATCCACATCTATCTTTCTGCCTCTCCAGATCAAATCCCTACAGTCTCATCCCCACCTCTGTAGCAGAACCTCTGGGGTGAACTCTATTCAATGTCTCCTCCCATTCTAAGGAGACAAATAAGCAGATCCTGGTTGAACATTCTGCTCTGATTCATCGTGTGACCACTTTCAAACACCTAGCCTATCCCCATTCCTAAACATTGATCTGGAACACCCAGTGGTCACAACTATGAGGTAAAGAAAAATTCCTACCAGGCAACACACAGTCATTACACTGTCTGAAAATCCAGAGGGAAAACAGAAATCAAGGAACAAACAATCATCCAAAAAAGACATATCCAGAAAGCAGCACCTAGACCTATAGTCATCCCAATTCCAGATGCACAGACACCAGCCTAAAAACACAATCAATAACAGCCAGAGGAAAATGTCTCCAATAGAGCCCAGTAATCTTATCACATCATATCCTAAAAATTCCAACGTAGTTGAAGCATAAGAAAAAGACCTTAAAACCTCCTGTATGAGGATGATAGAGGTCCTTAAAGAAGAAATGAATAAATCGATTAAAGAAATCCAGAAAAGGGGATGGAGAGATGGCTCAGTGGTTAAGAACACTTGCAGTTCTTCCAGATGTCCTGAGTTTTATTCCTAGCAACCACATGGTGCCCTCTTCTGACACAAAGTTGAATATACAGTTAGAGCACTCATATATTAAATAAATAAATAAATAAATAAATAAATAAATAAATAAATAAATAAATAAATCTTTAAAGCGGGCTGGAGAGATGGCTCAGCAGTTAAGAGCATTGGCAGTTCTTCTCAGAGGTCCTGAGTTCAATTCCCAGTAACCACATAGTGATTCATAGCCATCTATAATGGGATCTGATGCCCTATTCTGGCATGTAAGTATACATGCAGATAGAGCACCATATACATAAAATAAATCTTTAAAAACTTTTAGGGGCCAGAGAGATGGCTCAGTGGTTAAGAGCACTGGCTGCTCTTCCAGAGGACCTGGGTTCAACTCTCAGCATTCACATGGCAGCTCACAACTGTCTGTAGCTCCAGTTCCAGGGGATCCAACACCCTCACACAGACATACATGCAGACAAAACACCAATGCACATGAAAATAAAAGTAAATAAAATACATCATTAAAAAAAAAGAAATCCAGAAAAACTGTGACCCTGCCACAACCTGAGTATTTGTTGATGTCCCTGGCCTGTTACTATCAAAGGTCATGCAAAGTCTCAGGATCTGGGCCATGACCTGAGACCAGGTAAGGCTCTGGGGGTCATTCTGCAGCCTGGTCCATATGGAGCTGAGTGGCTTGTGCTGCCACAAGGTGCCATGCTGACATCTGGGCCCAGGCTGCAGTTGAGGGCCATGTCTGGGTCCGTGGCCCTACAGCAGTCAGGGTCTGTGTTCATGTCCATGGTTTCTGATACTGTCAAGGCCATGTTGATGCCAGGGGTCTGGGCTACCACCTAGGGCCATGCTGGAGTCCAAGGACCACACTACTACTGGAGCCATGCAGATCTGAGTAGTTTGTGCTGCCACCTAGGGCCATAGTGACATCTGGACCTGGGCTGCTGCTAAGGATCATGTCTGGGTCTGTGGTCCTACCGCAGTCAGGGTCTGTGTTGATGTCCATGGCCCACGTTGCCACCAAAGGCCACATGGATGACTGGGGTCTAGGCTGCAACCTGTGGCCATGTGGATGTCTGAGGTCCATGCTGCTACTGGGGCCATGTCGATCTGAGTGGTCTGTACTGCCACACAGGGTCAGGATGTCATTCAGGCTGGAGAAGCTGCCAAGGGCCATGTCTGGGTCTGTGGCCCTACAGCAGCCAGGATCTGAGTTGATGTTCATGGCTGTGGGGGACCTTCTCCCACTTTTTTCCCCAAGGAACTCTTGAGGAGTGAGGGATAAGAGATTTAGATAGAAGGATAGAGGGGAGAGAAACAGAAACACAGGATAGTCTCAGGAGGGCCTGGATCCTTCTCCATTGGCCCAGAACTCTATTCAAAAGTTTTTTTTTATAACAATGCCAAGGGGAGGGGCAAAAGACCTCCCCCTTGCTAGATACAGCCAAGTGTAGATCCTACCAAATACCTGGTACCCAGGCCCATGGTCCAATCATGTTTTTAGACAGTCCTTCTGAGTAATGCAAGCTCAGATCTCACTAGGAAACCTCTGTGGGATTTCCTACACATGGCTCCTGTTATGACCAAGGCCCAAGCAGAGGTCTGGGAACTGGTCAGCTCCTGAGATCATGTTGGTATCTGATGGCCAATCTGCAGCCTGGGCCATACTGATCTGAGTTGCCTACACTGCTACACTTGGCCATGGTGAAATCTAGACCTGAGCTACTTCCAAGGGCCATGCCTGGGTCCATGTTTGTGCTGCAGCTGGGGAGTGTTGATGTCCATGTCCATGTTACCACAGGAAGTCATAGGAATCATGTCTGTTGAAATCTGAGAGCTGAGCTGACCCGGCCCCACCCTTCACTGACCTTGGGCTAGCTGGCCTTGCCCCTTGCTGGACACTGAAGCAGGAGAGCTGGCCCTGCTCCTCATGGGAGAGCTGTCCCTTGTACTTAGGGGAGATAGCTTTACCCCTCACCATGGAGTGTTGTAGAGCTGGTCCTGATGGCATGCATGAGCATAGGAAATCTGGCTCCATCCCTCACTTGATGTGGGTAATCCCAGTGATCCAGACTGACCAGCTCAGCTACCACTTAGACCCACATCTTAGGCCTTGGGTTGGCCCACCCTAACATTTACCCCATCTATCACCTGCTGGAATGAGAGCCACAGGCTCTCCGTCACTCAGGGCAATAGCAGGATATCCAAGAGGAATTTTGGTGAGGTTCCAGTGAGGATGGTGTGACAGAGGCCTTGAACCAGATCAATGACTCATTGCAATGAACATTTGCAGGTGGGACTTATTGGACAAAATGGTAAACCCAGTGACACTGCAGCTTCCAATGTCACTAGAAGGAATGAAGAGGTGATGGGGAGATGGGAAAGACCTTGGAGCACGCTGCTTTGTTGTTGCTGTTGCTCTGATTTTAATTATTTTTGGGTTTTCTTTGGGGGTTGCTCCAGTGGTGAGGGTCAGATAGGGAGGGACTGGGAGTTATGCAGGATTGGGGTGCATGATTTGAAATTCCCAAAGATCAATAAAGAATTATGTTATTTAAAAAAGAAGAAATCCAGGAAAACAGAAACAGTGGAAAGAAATGAATAAAATGAATAAAAATGAAAAAAAATAAGACCTGGAACAAAGCAAACCCAAACTGAGGGAATTCTGGAAATGAGAAATTAAGAA